TGGTATTCATGGTAATGTCCCTCGGTCTATCCATGAAATGCTTGTTCTGTGTGTGTGCACTGTAATACTTCCTCCGTCCCAAAATAAGTGACTCAACTTTGTAATACAAAGTTAGTATAAAGTTGAGTCACTTATTTTGGGACGGAGGGAGTATGTTTTTTGATTCAGTTTCTGCTCGGATATGTTTAAGAAAGCGTTCCTCTGTCTGTGCATATGATACAATGCGTGTACTACGTAGTTGTTTAGCTGCTAACCCCTCACACTTGTGTGTGATTTCGCAGATTCACACGGCCATCATCTTGTACAACTACTACCACAGGAAGATGTCGCCGCAGCTTGCTTTTGCAGACGCCAAGCGTTTTTTTGTGTGTGCTTCTCTTTCTGCTGGAGAGGATCTGCTTGCGTACTTGAGTATGGTTCATGAGCGTGAGAACAATCCTGGCAAGCATGTGAGGCTATCTGTTACTGACAGAGCAGCAATACAGGCATGTGAGATCGCTGAAGAACTCGACGCGAGCAAAGATTCTCCAGACATGGCAACGTGGCCAATATCAAAAGTTGCTGTGCTTCTTCTTGATCCGACAAGAAAAAAATGTTTGATTGAGTATAGTGCTAATACCAAGGGTATCTGGTCAATCATAGAGAAGGAAATAGATGCAACAGCTGGCAATTCACACAGTACCAACCAGCCAGCAGGCCAGGAATCAACAGGTAAAGGAAACGTGGGTGCTCTGAATACACCATATATGCTTCGTCAACAAGCCTATTCAGAGGTGGAACGTAGAACAGGTCAGATTTTATAATCACAGCCCGTAGTTTTATGTATCAATATCTGTCATTTTATTTTCATTTTTTGAGTTGCCAAGGTGTTGCTTCTATCTAATATTTAACTGTCAACTCTGTTAAATTTTCATCCTAGAGCATTGAGATAAAGTGTGCAACCTTTGTGTCTACAGAGCCATGTCTCTGTAGTTTACTCACTTGGATCAGGTGACTATTAGTATTACGGAATGTTGATCAGAGTATCTAGTAAATAAGCATTTACATGAGTTACTGTTGCACATGGTCCTAAATTTAAACTGCCAATGAAGCCAAAAACTGAGTTTGAGTCGTACACTTGCTTTACATCAAACAAGAACAAGTGCATGGTCCCAGAATGTACCCAAAAATGTACCTCTGTCTTGCTTTTAACTAGTGTAAAACCAGGATAAACGTGAACATCAGAAAATATAATTAGTCAAATTCTTTGCCACTACATTATTTGTCTCATTTGTTTTGGTTGTGTACAAGCTGTTAGCTACAGAAACTTCATTTAATTTCATCAACTAGCAGACTGAAAATAACTTGGGACACTATAATGGTTGATTCCCTTGTATATGACCTGATAGCCGCAAATTGTTTGCTAGAGAACGCTATTTATTTGGTTCTATACTTATAATAGTTCAAAAAGTGTAACTTATGAACTTGATTTTGTAAATATTATGTTTATTTTCTGTTTGATCCACCTATGCATTGTTTGCTGCTCACTATGGTAAACTTATGGTCTTAATAGGTATGAAGGGCTCAAACTTGCGTCTTCTCGATGAAACTTTGGCATACTCGTTGAGTAAAGAAAGGACAACTACCAAGTTATTTATTGTGGAGTATGAGCAAACCATGGAAGGCAACCTTGTAGAAATGTGTCTAGAAGAGTTGATTAGCAGGTTTGCGTTTACCTACTAGATAGTTTTATGCTTTTAAGTTACATCCCTTTTGATCAACCGTTATTCAATTTATTGAATAAGACCATTGTATGGTACTTCTTGATGGAAAGCATACCCTTTCTCAACGGTACTGACACTTATGGTTTTCCACTTTCACAGTATGACTGGTCCGCTATTTGCAAATGATCCATTTCCAAAAACAACATCTGTAGTTGAGTATTATCACATTCTTCCGTATAAGGAGATTTTGTTTGAACTCCTCCACAGGTAACATATGATTTGTTCTCGGTTATTTATGCGTGATAGTAGGGCAATGGAACCTTTTGGGTAATGATGGTAAATATAACACTTCACATGTTTCAGGAAATGGCCTTCTGATTCTCCACTGAACGAACAATCACATCGACATGGAAAAGGTTCATTGCACTCTGTAATAGATGAAAATGTGGAAGAGCAAGATGTGAATAGCACATCTAAGATGCAAAAACGAATTACAAAAGTGTCAACTCCAAAGCAAAGCAAACAAGCAATTGCTGCCAATAGCAACCAGGACTACAGGACCAGCAAGCACAAGAGAAACAGCAAAAGAAAATCTGAAGCCTCCAGGGCCGATGTCTGTGCTGAGGGTCCAGATGCTGAGATCCACACAATAGAAAATGGTCCACCTCCTGTTATTATTGATTTGGAAACTTCAAAACCCCTGACTAAGTCAAGAAATACAAAAGCTGCTGCAGCAGCAAATCGAGAAACTAAAATCCTACAAGCCGGTTAGTCACTTTAACTGTATTACGAATTTACCGTCACATTGTTCCTTCTTTGTGTACTGATACAATCAACTTTAATTGTTCAAGTGGATAAGAACAAAACACAGAAGCAGTCTAGACGTGACAATGTGCCCCAAGATGTCTTTCCTGCAGAGGTAAGCCAAATTACAGCTTGAAAGTATTGAAAAACTTTTTCGGTTAAGTATTGAAAAACTACAATACTAGGATACATCAGGATCACACGCAACCTAAAATGGTTATAGAAAATAAACTTCAAATATGTTGACCTTTTAATAACATTAAATTGTATGGTTCCACCCTTGTCTATAAAAATGTTATCGTGATGATTGTTGCTCTTTATTCTATTCGTTTGTGTTCTCATACGCACTCTACCATAAGTCTCTACGTACCTGAGACTTAGAGCATTTCTCATTGGCTATCACATGTCTCCACGTGAATGTTTGGAAAATTGTGACAGCACATTTATAAAGGGGAAAACGGCGCAGTCCATTCCTATCAAATAAGGGATAATATCCCATTTAGTATAAAGGATGGCGTATTAGTGACGAAAAATATCTTATTGTTAGGAAAGTATTCAATTGATAGATCTTATTATTAGGAGCCACACCCTAATAGATCATCTCCATATAAAGAGAGGAGCCACACCCTCCATGGTCAATCAACCAAAAGAAGTATTAATCCTTTTCATGGGTCAGTTTCATATGAGTAGGCCACATTTTTTGTGTGATTCATCCACTCCGCTTTGACTTGAAGAACTAAGAAGGTCTCTGTTCGCTGATTTCATTACGTAATTAGCATACACCACGAGCCAAAAACTTTGCAGCCGTTTTGTTTACATATGGTTGGGATCAGTTACCACACAATCGGATACGACACCATTCATTGCCGATTACGCCCAAAATCTACCGTAACAAAACTGATACCGGAGGGGTCCTGCACAACTTCTCCCTACACGCCTACACCTTCCTTCCTCCTGGCCGCACCTTCCTCCCACCCTAGGTGTCCCCACACGACGGGCAGTAGCACCTTACCGATTGATCCCCTCCTTCATGGAGCAGCATAGCCTCCCGCAAGAAGATTTTTCGGTGTTAGTGGAGATCGGTTCGGTGCTGGTTTGCGAGGGGATCAATATGGCCACTAAGTAAACGACAAATCCTGCAGTTGAGGATGTGACTGCTCTGTCCGGCCAGGAGGATGCAAGGCACATGAGGAGACGGTGTTCTTGGCACGGAGTATGCCGGCAAGGAAGCAACAAAGTCCATGGCTGATGAGAGGGATCAGATCTGAATTAATGAGTGTTTTCTTCCCCAAATATGGTTTGATTTTTCAATTGTTTTTCTTGGTTTGGATTTTTAGGCATTCCTATGCCTACGAATGATTGTCTTCACCTGATCTTTATTTCTGAATTGTAATTCTTGTGCTTGGTAGTTGGATGTTCAGGTGATGTTCTTTTGACCAACAGTGGCAACCATTATAATCAGGAAACAGATTTCGGTTTTCCCTATTCCATTTGCGATACCAGTGCATTATGTTTATGTTGCCGTTTTTGTTACCTTTTTGCTCAACCAAACACCTCTTAATTGTTCTATCAGGCACCACATGTTGATCTAATGAAGAACCGTGCTTTGGAACATCAAAATATGGATGTGTCAGAAAAGTCAGGTTCGGATACACCTACCCAAGACTGTTTATTTTTTCTATTATTGGTTCTTGCTCCTCCAAGTTCTTAATCTATGTGTTCCAAATTTCATTGAAGGTGGCACCACTGAGTACACCAATGACCAGATATATGATTCGCTGCAATCAATTCAGAAAATACGGGATGAGATTGTATGTTATATGTCTTTTCTTTTATTTCAGGAAAGAAAACGATGCCTCTTTATTACAATTTTCTCCTATTCTCTCTTCGTTTCAGCTTCGCAAGGAATGCATACTTCAAGAACGAAGTGCTCAGTGTGATATGGACATTCAGACAATCTTGAGTGGTATTCTACCCTTTTCACATTTTAAAAATGCTTACATCTATAATCACGCTGTAGAACTGTGACACTTTTGTGGCCAACATTGTGGGCATGTTTTTCTGGGAGTGATACGTTTCCAAAAGTTATGTGATAAAGTGATAAACTGTGGTGTATCATTCTTTTCACTGCATAAATCATCCGCCGCACTTTGTGATGTATAAATCGTCCATCAGAAGTGTGGTAAGTTGTTTCTATATCAGGTCCCCATTTCTTGTACTCATCATGTTCTAAAACTTAATGCAGAAGGGAAGATGACACCAAAAACTGCATCAATAATACACAAATACAAGGAAACTTGCTCAGATATGATGGATGTTGCCAATTCATCTTCCTCCGGAGATGGTGGCCAATCCATCACTCAGAGGAAGGGATTGAGGGAGGCACTCCTCCGACGCAATTCATGCGAGGCAAGAAACCTCAAAAGCTGAACTAATGCATTACAGTAGAATTTTAAATGCCACCTGTACCTTTGACACTTGTCAGTGCAGGAGCTTGATGAGATCTGCCGTGGGGGCAATTGGATATTCCCAAGATACACAGTAGTACCTTCAGTATCAGATGGTATGTACAAATAATTACTTTTATCTCTTTGATTGATCTTCTGGATGGACAAGCATTAGGTCCTTGGCTCCTATAGTCATACGAATTAGGAATATCATGCAGATGAGTCTTGCCACGTACTTTCTGATTATTGTTTATCAAATTCAATCTCTATAGTTCTTGGTTCGATTCCTGCATTGCGATCATAACATACATAGTGTACTACTCTAACCATGCTTAGACCAAAAGAGTTCTCAAGGTGTCAGATCAATTGGCAAGTTTTCTCTTTTGATGTCATGTAGCAATCCACATAGGCCACTTGTTTGTTTACCACATGTGTTAGGTTTGTTTAACGTTCGGTCGATCAATGCTTTCCTTAGGTATGTGTGCACCCTTGTAAGCTTTATTTAAGATCAGACTGATTAGGTCCCGAGTTAGCAATAACCAGAACTGATGTTTGATTGACTATCATCTCCTCCCTCTCATAGCTCCCTGTTCTGAGCACTTATTCACTAGTCCTTTAACTATCTTTTCAGGAATGTTCCACGCCAGTGTACGTTTGACATGCCCTGAGTTTGAGATGAGCATCACTGGTGGCCCTCGTCCGACCGCACACGAGGCAAGGTGCTCAGCAGCTGCCAATATGATACTGGAGCTTCACAAGAAGGCGGAGGAGCAAGAACAGTAGGGTACCTGGTGCAAAATCACAACTCCTAAATCGCGGTACTGCAGGTGGCTGGAACGAGTTGTTATTTAGTCCTTACAACTTTGAACCAAACTTCGTGTGGAACATAATCACGTTGGTACCTTGCCTAGCTATTTTACCTTCGGGAGGTCGACTCCTTGTGTCTTGTCGGTATTATGGCTGTTTGTTAAGGGCGTGATAAACCCCAGACTGTTATTTGAAAATTTCTGTGACGCTGCAGCTGCACTGTCTATTCTGTTATGGAAGTGAACACAACTTGTCTAGCTATTTCTTGAGTTCTTGTCATGTAATTATTTAGCCGACACTGCCAAGTGCATAACAAAATTGGGTTGGTTATGTGTGCCTCTAGTTTAGATTTAACTACTAGGAGCCAGAGGCACACGTACGTCCTTGCATAACATTTAAATTGTAGGCTTCAAGAAGTTTTTGAAATTGGGTCGGTTATGTGTGCCCACGGAAGTAAGTTACTCGATTGTTAGCCTGCAAATTGTCTAACTAATTTATGTGTGCCTCAGGTACCTTGCCTACCTATTTTTCCTCCCGGAGGTTTCTTTGATTGATCGCTAGGTGTCGTTGCAGGTAGCATACCGAGAGAACAGCCCAGATGTTTTTTACATTGAATGGGCATATTTGAGTAGCAATTTGTTATCTCGTTAGGAAGTTTTGAACTTGTCTTCTCAGATCATGCCTTATGTTGATACGGCATATTCATGTGAATTTTGATCGTATACTTTTTAGTGTTCTTTTGTACTGTGAGCCTATGTGGAGCTGGTCTGCGTTCTTTAGCCACGTAGTTTTCCTCGGTCCCCGTAGGAGCATATTTTCCGTTTTAGCTCATCCACGTTTCCGCGGAGGTTCCAGTAGTGAACCACTACGTTCACTCACTACGGTTCTGCTCTTCGCGGAACATTAGTGCAGTACAAGGGTTTCAACCCGATTCCAAGTTCCAGCTGCTTAGCGGTGATCTCTTCGAATACTTGAAACATGTCATTTCATCTTCTTCTTCTTCCTATCAGTATTATTAACACGTAGTTCCAATCTGCAATATTGGCACATTTGACAAATTGCAAGCCTCGGCCAAAGCAACGCATGGTGTACAACAACTGTAACCATTTGGAGTTCTGGCGTTGAGTCAGGGACAACTTACATCCATGTGCAATAAGCAATGGATGGAAATGCACCAACTTTAACCACTGGTTGTTCTGATGTGCGAACAATAGAGCTACCTCGCGCCAGGACAATTAGGCCAACTCCACCACGCGACCCCAAACGGACGTCCGGATTGGTCGGATTTTGTTTCTTTGGGGCGCCGATGAATTCGCCCGTGTCCGGCTTTGTTAGATGGGTCGTGCGTGCGCCCACCGCACGGCGGTACCCCAAATCATGTCCGGAGTGGACGTGAATAAAAAAATTTATAAAAACTAGAATGAAATAATTAAAAAAGTAAATAAATGCATTTAAAAAAACATAAAACGTATATAGGGGTCGGCCACAAAACGGCCCAGTTTCCACGACCACTTAAAAGGCCCAGTTTCATAATTAACATATAAAAACAAAATAAAAAAACGCTTCCCGCGCGCTCCTGCCGCGCTCGTCGGTGCCGTGGCCGTCGCCGTCTTCACTGGTCGCCGGTGTCGTCGTCGTCGCTGACGAGGTCGACGTAGGCCGGCAGCGTCCACAGGTGGGCCGGCGGTGCGTGGTAGACGGGGGCGGGCTGGACGGCCGGAGGTGCCTGCACCACCTCCTCCCGTGGCGACGCCTCCCGCTCCGGTGACCGCGGCGGAGTGGGGCATCAGTTCACGCCCACGCCGGCGGCCATCTCCGGAGCAGTGCAGGACCAGCCCCACCCCTAGCCCAGCAGCTGCTGGAACGCGGCCACCGGCTCCTCCTCCTCGGGGATGGCTACCTCGCCGGCAGCGGAGCGGGCCGTCATCTCCTCTAGGCCCTCCCATTGCCGCTCATCGTGCGTGTACATGGAGTCCTCCATGACACGCGCCATGAGACGGGCCTCCTCCTCCTCTGTCATGCGAGGAGGTGGTGGTGGCGATGGAGACGGCGAAGGCGACGGCGTGGGCGTGACGCCGCGCACCCGCCTACGCCCGCGCTCCTGGGGAGCAGGCGTTGCGCGCTCCTGTCGTGGCCGCCGCGGCCCCGTCGAGGTTCCGGCGAAGAACGACGCGCGCCTGGTGTCGTGCTCGTCACGAAACCAGGTGTTCCAGAACCCGGAGTCGGGGGCGTACCTGGGGTCGTAGAAGAGGTCGTCGGGGAGGAGGCGGCGGCGGCGCTCGATCTCCTTGTCGCGCGCACGGCCGCTCGTCGGGACCGGCGGGATCGGGACCCGGTCGGCGGAGAGATGCCAGTTATTGGGGAGATGGACGTCGCTCCAGGGGAGTGGCGTCCTCGTCTCCCAATAATGGCGGCACACCGACGAGCGGACGTAATGCCGGTCACGCTCGCCGGCGGACGTGGGCGCGATGGAGAAGGAGGGCGGCGCGGGGGCCCGGCGTGGTGGCGATGGCGAGCCGCGGTGGCGTCCCGACAAGGAACCAGGCTCGCGGTCGTGCTTGCCTTTGCGGCCCATGGCTGCGGGCGGCCGGCCGGCGAGGTGTTGGCTAGGGTTTGGGACTGGGGCTGTCGGGTTTCGAGGAGGCCGCGGGATGACGTGGGGCAGTGTGGACGACAACCCGTCCACGCTTCCCACTTAAAGAAGGACGGCGACCGTTCGACGTGCGGATGACAGGTGGGGCCGCCCGCTCGTGTGCATTGATGTGGGCGGGTGGGAGTTAGGTGGCCGCCTGCCACGCGGCCCCGACGCGGACGAGGCGCGCGTCCGTTTGGTGTCCGTCGCGACTCAAACCCGGCGCAAGTTTGCGTTCGAAATGGGTCGGCCCGGACACAAAACGGATAAGATAGGTCCGGGCCGTCGCGCGCTGGGCCGCCTCCTTTATCTGTTTTATCTCAAACAGATAGGACCGGACAGGATAGGGTCATGCGGTGAAGTTAGCTTACATCCTAGTGAAATTCTGAAGTATAAACAATAGTGTGCAGTACTGATTCTAAGGTTAACAATCTAACAACCTTGTGACCAAGCTATTGTTTTAGATTTAACTACTCAGAGGCAGACATACTTGTATAATATTTATATTTAAATGGAGCCAAAGCACAATTTTGAGAATCGTCAATGGCAAAGAACATATCTCAAACATCTACGAGATGACAGTCAACTACCACAAGCTAGTTTTTTTTTGGTTGCCGTCCAACGTACAAATCTCATTTTCACAATCTTGGGCTTCTTTTGCAACAACACTGTTTTATACTCCCTCCATTTCAAAATAGATGACTCAATTTTATACTAACTTTAATATTAAGTTAGTATAAAGTTGAGTCTGTTAAATTGTGATCCAAATTCTACCGTATTGAATTAGACGTAGTACATACGGTGTGGGTCTTTGCGTTGGTATCGACGCGTACAAGTACAACTCGTTTACTTGTCCTCCAAGGACTCTCATGTATTGCCCTCTTATATACCCCATGTAGTCGCACCTAAAGACGGTCTGTCGTCTCGGGCTTGTAATACTCCTCCTCATAGTGATTGTGCCTTCGTGCGTCTGTGATTTTCTCCCGCAAGGATTTCCACGTAAAAATCCGTGTCTCTTTGTCTCATTTATTTCTGTTATTATCTAACAAGTGGTATACAGAGCCAAGTTTCAGAGACGGGAGGTTTAGGATTGCAGTGTGTCCGCCACCGCAGTCCTACAATCCACCGAGACTGGCTGGAATTCAGTCTGCGCGTCACCCTGCAATTAGATCGACGTGATTTACTTTACTCGGAGGCTATTGTGCGCTGCACCGGGCTATACGTCAGTTCCGCCGAGACCGACAAAACCGTTCATACGACGCATATCACGCAAGCCGCCGAGTTCCGCTGCTGCTCTACATACAACATCAAGTCTCGAGGCAGCCCCAGTACTACTCGTGTCAAGCATCAGATCGGAGTTCTAGTACTGCCACAGTACCATGGAGATATCCATCCACTCACGTGAAGGTTAGTACTATTGAGTACTAGTAGATCAGATTTATTTTCTCATCTGATTGCTACATCCACACGAAGAGCTATCAGGTGCTATCTTTTTTTGTTCTTTGCTCCACAAATTAATTCTATCAAGGATTTTTCTACCGGCTTGTACTCCTTTGTGTACACAGATTTATCGACTCATGGCATCCATGAAGTACGATTTTCCGCTGCTGGATCGTGACACAAGGTTTACCTTATGACAAGTTAAGATGCGGGCGTTGTTGGCACAGTCCGACTATGATGAAGCACTGGATAGTTTTGGGAAGAACAGAATTCAGGACTGGATTGATGAAGAGAAAAGAATTGATTCTAAGGCTTTGTCAAAAATTCAACTCCATTTGCATAATAATATTTTGCGGGAAGTTTTGAGCGAGAAAACTGCCGCCGCTCTATGGTTAAAGCTGGAAGGGATTTGCATGACTAAAGACCTCACCAGTAAGATGCATCTGAAGCAAAAATTATTTCTGCATAGGTTACCCGAGGGAGGTAATATTTTGAATCATATTTCAGAATTTAAAGAGATCATATCTGATCTAGCTGCAATGGAGGTTAAGTATGAAGAGAAAGATACTGCTTTAATGTTACTTTGTTCACTGCCAAGTTTTTATACCAATTTTAGAGACACCATATTATACAGTCGTGATACTCTCACACTTAATGAAGTTTATGAAGCTTTGAACTCTAAGGAGAAGATGAAATTAATGGTGCCTCATGATGGTTCGAGTTCATCCCAAGCCGATGGATTATCTGTTCGTGGCAGGACAAAGGAGAAGAACTCCAATAATGGAAACAGAGGCAAAAGTAAAAACGGCTATAGGGGTCGGTCGCAATCCAGAGAGAAGAAATATTGCAGATATTGCAAGAGAGACGGGCATGACATCTCAGAGTGTTTCAAGTTGCAAAACAA